CTGCTGATCTAGCAGTAGCCTGCAGTGCTGCATTTAACCACTGCGCCACCTTGGCTCAGAACAAAAATATAATCTGTTTACAAACCTAGCAACACCATGCCAAGATCTAGAAGTATGACAGATTTTCATCTTCTCAATGTAAGCTCCACTAAGACAATTGGCTTGTCATAGTCATAAACGGAAAGCTAACTGAAGTTGGCTTCCCAGTAAATATGGCTGATTGACCAGTCTGAGAAGCTCTTTCTAGAACGAAACTTTTTCAATTTATAAACAGGGAACTGAATTCCCTATGTTGGTATGACTTTCCTGGGTTAGGGTGAGTCCAAGAGTCATCCCATAAATCTTCCATACGAGCAGTGGATTTTTGTTCATATGGAGGATGATAGTTTAGAAAGATTAATAAGTGTAAACAGAACTACGTATGATTTACCACAATAGGGGGGAAATGGATTTGTTTAAGATATCAATGTAAACTGTTTTTACAAAGATATTTTATTTACTTGTTTCTTTTGGGATATTGCTTTCTGGTTTTCTATGCTTGAAGTAGAAAAGGAAATGAAATTTAGAATTTAATTTGACAGTATAATAATTGTATAGTTACGGAGCTAGCTTATAATAATTATAGGTAATGTAAAAAGTTGAGATTATAAATGCATTGAAAAGAATCAGAATCAACACTTTTTCTCTTCTTCTTTTTAGTCCTGCACTTCCCCCCTTTTTAATCTTTGTTTTCATTGTATTTTATGCTATAATAAAACTTAATATAACTTCCATTAAAAAAGCATAAAGCTAATTAAGAAAACTCTTGGTTTTTCCCAACTTAGCAATTATTATATTTTAGTAGATCCATGGCGATGAATGCTGAACTTAATGGCCTGATTCAGCAAAACCCTTCTTATGTTATTGGGTAATGTTTTGTACATTTAGAATCTGAAAAAATAAACAGGATGGATGCTCATCACCATACTTTATTGTCTTCTCTAAAGAGACAAATGATTTCTAACTAGTTGAACATCTGATACATCATGGTTCCATATGATTGGAAGCCGTGGTTGGTTGTGTTGGCACTCACACCCATCAATCAGGAATCTTATATGAGTAGCTGCTTTATCAACTGAGATTCTTTTTCAAGTGGCAAATACGATTTTCTTTTTTTAATAAAGCCTTAGAAACCATTTGGGGAGGATTATACGTATCATAAAATGTAAACACTTCCAGTACTTTGTACAAGTATGAGTGGGCAAGGGCCTACTCACTTGAGAAAGTCTGAGAGTCGGTGTGTGCTTATCCTTCATTTCACCATCGTAGCTGTCAGGGTAACTCATCAAGCTCCATTCGTAAATATAGTCTGATTCTAAAAAAAAGGAAAGAAAATGTAGCACAAATAATTATGCCTGCTATTACACAAGCTCCAGTCATAGGGTAGAGGAATTGTAACTCTCCCCTTGTCCTGAAACTTCTACCATGCAAGATATTCTTGCCAGACCTGGTCTCTCAGCACCAATGATGTGACCTAGTTTAGTAATGAAACATCTGCCAGAAATGAAACCAGAAACCTCAGAGTGCTCCCAGGATCTCACATGGTATCTCCTGACTGCTGTCTTGGAATTCTAGGAACTATAGACCCAGATCATATAAAGACACCACCGTGAGGAAAAAAATAATAATATAAGCTGCAAGCTAAGTAATTGTAGGGATATCCATTCCAACGCGCGCGCACATTTGTGAACTGGTAGCGAAGGTGAGTTGATGTCACCCCTGCTCTATATCATTCCAGACAAGTGGCTGTCCAGTCTCTTCTTAAAAGTCTCCAATGATGAAGCCCCCCAACTTCTGAAGGCAAGCTCTTCCACTGGTTAATTGTTCTCACTGTTAGGAAATTTCTCTGAGTTCTAGGTTGCTTCTCTCCTTGATTAGTTCCCAACCATTGCTTCTTGTCTTGCCTTCTGGTGCTTTGGAAAACAGGTTGACCTGACTCTTCTTTGTGGCAGCCCCTCAAACATTGGAACCCCCACTATCATGTCACCCCGAATCCTTCTCTTCACTAGACTAGACATATCCAATTCCTGCAACCCATCTTCATAAGTGTTAGCCTCCAGCCCTCTGAAAAAGGGCTGTTTTTAAAATATCTCTAAAAATGTTTTTAAAATACCCCCATCCACCCCAGCAACAACAGCAAGAAAACACACATTTCCTGGAAACAGAGTAAAGCAAGCCAATAAAACAGGCTAGATTACATCCCTTCTTCTTTATGGGCTAATTTTAATTAGAAAAACAAAAAATATGGGGAAACATTAAATAAATAAACAGTACAAACTCAGAGTCAAACCAAACTGTTTGACTCTTCATTGGGCTGAATGTTTAAACCAAGATTTCTGTCTGCTTGTTGAAACCAATCTTTTATCTTTCTTAATTATTTAGAAATAACTTCCATTAAAATATAACAAGAGCCAAGAAGAATAATGGAATGGCTGTCCATAGTAAAACTAAAGATTAAAAATGATTGCAACATAAAAAATATATCAGAGGTTAAAGAGTTGGGGAAATCTGGGGGGGAAATAGGTTTTGGCCTATTAAAAACATCTCAATTGTCTCAATAACAAGAGCATTTCAAAGAAAAGCGTCACACAATGCTGGCTTCTCCATGGTAACCATCTGCTTCAACAGCAGCTGGATCTGGAGAAAAACCTCTAGGAAAATCTTAGTTTTTGTTAATTTAATCGAGATATATATTTCTAACATCATTGTCTTAAATCAGTGCTTCAACCATAATTTGAAGACTATCTCAACAAATGAAGAGATCTGGATTATGAATATGCTCTCAAAATCTCAGTCATAATGAAACCATGTTACCTGTTTTTGGGATCGTTGTGGAAAATGTAACTTCACCTGTCGCACAACATGCAGTGCTATGAGCACTGGTGGGAAATGTTGTGGGTTTAGTTTTTATGAAATTATCTGTGTTGGACACTTCAGTATGTGGTGGGATAGTGGAGAAAAATCCCAGAATTCCTGAAGAAGGAGGATTATGGGGAGGTGTTGCAACCTACAAGACAAATTGCGGGAATATATCATTATTGTAATTTTCTTTTCACATCCTGTTACACAACGTTGAAAATAAGAATGTATTGGAAGATTTAGGTTCAAAATTCTAATCCAGCTAGACTCAACAATATGATCAGCAAAGTCTGGAAAAATACTATATGTTCCCAAATTCCCAAGAATTGCACAAATTATGCATTTGTGCAAGCAGTTTTCTGGGATGCTTCCAATTCTGTAACAAAACTTGTACTGAAAGAGGGTGACATCCCTGGCAATGTGCAATATGCCTGTAAACTCTAAAGAAAAAAAAAACTCCATCTGAGCAAGAGAAAAACAAAGGAAAAAAAAGAGCTACAGGAAAATATATATGGGACTTGAAATTATATGAATAATGCAGAATATTAAAAATGCCTTTGATCTGATAACATGCTTACATATGAGATGGACATAGTACTTACTATGTCTTCTTCATATGAGGCTCTCAAAAAAAATCACATGCAAAATAATAAGTAAGAAATAGAATGTGTAAACGAAGCACCATTATATGAATTGTCCAACTTTCATAAAGTACACTTAGTGTGGTTAACTCAAACCTAAAAAGTTAACCATTACATCATCATAATTAAACCATCAAACAAAGACTGCAAAAACTGATTGCCTTATTACATTAGGCTAAAATCCCATTACTTAAATAGACTTAATATTTACATATAATTAGCAATTTTATCCCAGTGTAGTGTTAATGACTTCCTTGCAAAAAAACCAAACAAAGATAGCTGCTTTTTCAGTTTGTTAAGTTTGTTAAGAACACCCATCTGCTTCATTCCACAAAAGAGATGATATGGCAGCTATTAAAGCTGCATTTACTGCCGTTCTTAGCAGAACATATTTATTTGCTAGCGCTATTTTTTTGTCCTTATTATAATTAGGCAATTCAAATTAAATAATATTGCAAGTTTCTTTTTCACACCACTAGAGCGAGACTTTTAGCTCCCAAATCTGGGAGCAAACCCATGCACAGAATTGGCATAGAAATATTAGAGAATTAAAATGTGAATTGAACACCCTCATTTCTTCTGTAATATGACTGCATCATCATCATATGCCTGGACTCAGAGATTTCTGATTGTTCTTATTATGGCCCAACATCTGGATTGCTCCAACTGGACTCTTTCCATCATCAAAAATAGCCACAATGTAGCATCATGTGCCCTTAAACTTTAGTTGACTGCTGTGGCCAAGCTAGAACTCATGTGTTTATTCCTCTGATATGAACTTAGAATTGAAAGCAAAAATTAAATTTTATCCTCTTCTCTGGCACACTAGAGTGGCAATTAACCAAGTCTAGATAATTATTAAACTTTTGTTTCCTGATGAATTTTACTTGATTTAACCATTATTGGTAATGGGCAAGTTTCCAAAGACTCTGTTTCAGATATTTTGGTGGTTTAAATGTTTCTGTTTAATGTGTGCACACAAAAATACCTGTGCATAGAGCAGTGTTTCCCAACCTTGGCCACTTGAAGATGTCCGGACTTCAACTCCCAGAATTCCCCAGCCAGCAAATGCTAGCTGGGGAATTCTGGGAGTTGAAGTATGGACATCTTCAAGTGGCCAAGGTTGAGAAACACTGGCATAGAGAATCCACCTATATACACTATATTGCCAAAAGTATTCGCTCACCCATCCACATAATCAGACTCAATTGTGAGCGAATACTTTTGGCAATACAGTGTATAAGAACTGCTAATCTATTTTCAAAGAACTATGTTTTGCTTATCAAGAGTTATGCTTTGCTTAAAGGGTTCTTTAACTCCTGTTTGTATTAGTCAAAATAATAATCTCATGTTTTAAATGGTCCCAAGAGAATGTGATAAAATAAATGACTTAATTAAGGATTGCATATACAATGCTTTCCAATCCCTTCCCATTGTTTTTAATTTGGATGACGCCCTTATATATACAGATTTATCCCTTCGCGTTCTTCTTTTAGTAATTAGCAAAAAACTGAATATACAAGCAGCAGTTCTAATGATTTAGTAATAGCAATAACACTTAGACTTATACACCACTTCATAGTGCTTTACAGCCCTCTCTAAGTGCTTTACAGAGTCAGCACATTGTCCCCAACAATCTGGGTTCTCATTTTACCGACCTCAGAAAGATGGTAGGCTGAGTCAACCTTGAGCTGGTCAGGATCGAACTGCTGGCAGTCAGCAGAGTTAGCCTGCAATACTGCATTCCAACTACTGCGCCACCACAGCTCTCTAACAAAATGTATTTTTGTTTTACGTAGTCTCTTAATAGAGCAATCAAAACTGAATAATTACATTGGCTTCATTTAAGTTAATGTACCTATGTGGCAGGGAGCTTCAGTATACAAGCCAGGAAGCGACTGGATCTTTTTCCTATCACACATGCACACTTATTTCTTCACTCATAAAAAGATGTTCAAAGAAATCTGCTTTGTCTTTTTTTGTGTGTGTGTTTGTGCTCTGAATTTCGTCAAGAATGAAGAAATTTGCCGCTATTTAAAGTTATCCATTTGGGTGGGGAATTTGTGGTCCTCTGGATGCCGACGAGCATCAAATAATATTGCAAGGAACCTGCAATATTCTATACTCGCTGAGGCCTGGTCATTGGGACACATGTGACATCCCAAAAGATGAACTATGGAGACAGACAAAAGGAAATACTTCTTCTCATGCTATGCTTTATGAAAGTATTACATAGTATATGGAATTTGCTGCCACAAGATATAGTTAACGTGCAATTGAATTAATAAAATGTCTGCCAAGGGCTATTTGTCACATTGTATGGCAGCCTTTCAAACTGGCTAAGGGAGCCAACATTAATTATTTTGTAGTATATTTTATATTCCAACTACTATCGTTCTCTTGGCCTAAGATAGAGAGAGAGAGAGCAGGGAAGACTGTTACTGTTCCAAGTTCAGTTTTTGTGTGCTTGTTCACCTTCCAACAGCATCTTGCTGGTCACTGTCAAAACTACCGATTTAGATACCTTTGTGATCCAGCCCAATCGGAATATGTATATATTCACACTAATTGTGAATACCTTCCATCAAAGTATATGTACATAAGACTTTGGATGCACAAATGATAATGGCAAATAATTTTGTGTGTGTGTGTATGTAAACACATACCTCCTCCTCCCAGCTTCTGTTCACTTCATTTTTAGTTGGATGAAAATCAAAATCATTTGCAGATTTATCCAGCAAGCCCAAAACATCTGTCAACTTTTCAGGATGTTCAGTGGTAGGAATATGTTCAGAGGTGTTTACATTTGAAGTGCTTTCCAAATAAACTTCCTCGTTTTGAGGGACTTCTTCCTGTTTGTCTCCATTACTGAGTCCTGAAGAATTGAAGCTGTTTTCAGTGGTCACCACTGATCCCCAATCGGCATAGTTAATGGCCTCCTTCTCCTCAGGCTTGAGGCCAAGTTGAAAAGGATTCTGATCCATCTCACCATATTCGCTGGCATAGTCCTCAAGACTGTGCTCTTTGCTGAGGAAGGAGATCTCCTTCAGGCTACCAATTTCCTCAGAGGGGTCACTTGTCAATGCCATGGAGCGGATCACATTGGATGGCACCTGCCCGTATCCGAGCAAAGTGGCTGGTCTCTGGGGAGCTCTGACCACGAAGGTCAGATAGGACTTCACCTTCTCCATTTTCTTGGGCTCACAATTTCCTTTAGGTTGGCAACTGACTACGTAGCAATGCCGCTCAAACATCCAGGCTAGGTCGCAATCTGAAAGATCGCAACAGGCTGCCAGGCAATCTGACATGGACGCAGCACGCGGGACCCGCATAATTTTAGTTGTTTCTAAATTGGGAAGTATTGCATCTGTGTACTTGATGCCTTCCGTGCACTGCTGACAGGAACACCCTGAAAAGTAGATTTTGGTATAAGTAGAGTCTACATTTTAGGGGGGAGGGGAATTTATCATTTCTGATTTACATTTTATATACTGTGTTTCTCCAAAAATAAGACCAGGTCTTATATTAAGATGCATTAGGGCTTATTTTCCAGTTGGGTCTTATTTTCAGGGAAACACGGTAGTATAATGTAACTCAGTGAATGTCCCTTTAAATTTTTCATAGCCCTTTTTACAATTATTGTCATTTGAAATATTTACATGATTAACTATTTGCAGCTGATAAGGTTATCACAGCCTCAGATAGCAACGGTTCATAGTTTTCCTGTTTTTCAATGTTTCCATCATTATTTTTTTCCCTTTCTCTTTCATCTTTGGGAAAGTTAGGAAATGTGGAGAGACCAAAACCAATTCAAGAGAGCTATAAAATAAAACCAAAAGAACATTCAGTTCTGGCTTAGCAGATTATACTTCTCTCTAATTAAAACCCAAAGAATAGAAATTCAACTCCCTATTTTTTTTAATCATATATTTTTAAGTTGTCACAGAAATCTAGAGTAGGATCCTTAGTTAAACTGAACAACACAGTCACTTGCTGAGTCATCAAAAAAAAAAAGAGAGAACCCTGTTTGCTGAGCAACAGCAATTTTCTCCATGCAAAACCTGCATGCTACTCAGATCTGAGCAAGGAGTGTCCTTTTCAGGGCTGCTTCTGTGACAAATACCTACTCAAGGACCTGCAGTATCTCTGTTCTTATTATTTTTAATATCCATTGCAGGGGTGGGTTTCTCGCCCCGTTCCAACCGGTTCGGTTGGAACGGGGCCGGCGGTGTCCTCGTGCATGCGTATTAGCGTCTGTGCGATGCTCCAGCTGCTCCTGGAGGATCACGCAGGCGCTGTATGCGACCTGCGCATGCGTGGAAGCGCAGAACTCGTCAAAACCGGGTAAGGAACGCGGGCGGGCGGGTGCGCCCTTCGCCGTTCCCGGAAGTTCCTTACTTCTGGGTCCGCCCACCAACCGGTTCGCGGGGACCGCCGCGACCCACCTGAAACCCCCCCCTGGTACAGT